CTTAATGTTGGATATATATAAATGTCTATATATATATATATATATATATATATACATACTTATGAGGACTTAAGATTTATATATGTAAATTTTCAGATATGCATTAATGCTTGAAAAGTATTTGATAACTATATATAATAATTAAAATCGAGACCGAAAGATGAGTATGCATTTTTCAATGATAAGATTAATTAATTTCGTTGGTAAAAATCGCTAATCTAAAACGATTAACATAAAGAGACAGTTTTAACCTTTGCTACAAGTCATAAATTATTTCATTGCAATTATTTTCGTGTGCGTCGTGCGTGTGTGTGTGTGTGTGTGTTACGCGCGCATCACGCACGCACACATACAACAGCAGACAGAGTGCAATAGAGAAAAAAATAGAGAATGACATCAGCTGCGCGTGTGTTAAAACGTTATCGACAATAAATTACAATCAGTCGCGCGATCGAGATTTCGATAAATTCATCGAAATCTCAATAAACAGCTTACCTCTCACGCCCCGGTCACCATGCCACTGATTTAATTTAACTACGCACACAACAAAAGACACAATTATATTGTTATTTGTTCTACAGTGGCGTGGACCACTCGGTCGCGACCGATTGGTCCGCGGCGACCGCGTGACGCGCGCGACCGCGACATGAGCACCCCGTCCGTCTGAATGCCGGCAGCAGCCGGCGTGCGCTCCGGCTTCAGTTCGCAGTCGACTGTCTGCAAGTGCACGTCGCGCTACGCACAAACCGGCGATCGGCGAAACGTTTCCTGGAAACTGAGAGCCGCCGCCGCCGCCGCCGCCTCGTGTTCGCAACCCCACGGACCCGGTCCTCCTTGTCGTTCGCCGCCCTCCCAGCGGCGTCCGAGCCTCGCCCGTCCCGCGACCGCGACCACGACATCGAATCCGGAGTCGGACCACCGACTCTCCTTCGACAATGGCCGCGACCACGGATCACGACTATTACGACGGCTTCCGCACCTTCTCCTGGCTCGCGGACCTCGTCGGATTACCGATCGACCAGGTGAGACATGTACGCCGACCGTCGGGCCGACGACGCGACGGGCGCCCGGCATTCCGGGGGAGGAGCGGCGGCCGGCCGTATCGCCGGTGCCACTGTCCTCGGGCGGGGATTGTCCTGGGCGGCAACAGGGGAGAGGATATCGATCGCCGGAGGATCGCGCTCCGCGCCGTGCCCTCTTCGCACGTTTGTGCACTTCGCGAATGCCGACTGGATTCGCACGATCTCGATTCGCGTCGGTCGGATCTTTCTCAATGGATCCTCTCCTCTCGCGATCGCCGTCGATCGTAATGTTTACAGTCCGAAATCGTGTGTGGGAAAAGAGATGAGAATCGAAACAAACGACGGGGACATTTTAACAAACTACGCGCGAGGGATTTGTATTATTTTGAAAAGGAATTTGCGGTATCTGTAGCTGGATGATGCAATTGAATAAAAACAATTCCTGGCCGTCTGCTCGTTACACTTTCGCGATTTTATTTCCGTTCGGTTCGAGCGATGGCTCTCGGGTGACAGGTGTCGGTTGACAATTTTTTAAGTTTTTCTCGACACGCTTTTGTAAAAAGAAAAAACTTGTAGCTTATATTACGTAGTTAAGATTATACTTTTTTCAAGTGAAGTTAATGACACAATTTTGTCGAGTAAAGTTAATAACAACTTCAAGGCTCTAACTGCGCAGCAGTTTTTTTCACGCTACAGTTCTCTGTCGACTGAATTTCGAATTCAATTTATCCAATTAGATCTGACTAATCGATTTCAACGGAGTATCGATTTAGACTTGCACAAGGTTTGAATTAATGAATAGATTTTCTTCTCTATATAAAGATAAACGTATCATTACTGAACATGTATCTATATCTGAACAAGTACGCAGAACTTTATTTTTAAATGCTCTTTTTTCATGATATAATTTAATTGTAATCTCTTTAAATATTTTTATTAAAATTCGATATTATAATAAAAAAAAGCATTTGAGATTAATAAATTTTGTGTACACGGTGTTCAGATATAGATACATGTTCAACAATGGTACGTTTACACTTTATATAATTTAATTGTAATCTCTTTAAATAATTTTATTAAAATTCGATATTATAATAAAAAAAAGCATTTGAGATTAATAAATTTTGCGTACGCGGTGTTCAGATATAGATACATGTTCAGCAATGGTACGTTTACACTTTACCTTATGTATTTTATGATCGGTTAATTCAGAGTTACAATGAATTGTTTCCTTTATATTCCCTTAGAAAGAAAGGACGAAAAGCGGCAATTCGTAAGAGATATTTCTCTTCTTGTTGATGCAGTACGTTATACAAAATTACGCCGTAAATCTCGATGTAGCCGCGGATGACGTAAGCCTCGAGATCGGAAGATGCATTCATCGTCGCGACGCGCAGATTATTATTCCGTTCTATAACGCCCTTGTCAAATCCAAGGATAGACAACCGCGAGTTTTCCTGTCTCATTCGGATTAGGTATACACCGTGCCCCACGTCGGATTTTCCAACGCGCTCGAAACGCCTTAGCGCGTCAAGTTTCACCGGATTTCAGCTGCCAGATTCCGGCATGATCCTCGTCTGTCTAAATATTCGTTGATTAAAAAATACGGAATTTTAATTCATCGAATTGACGAGTAAGGTTAAATCGGTCGAATTATTTAAATGCTGAATTTGCTGTTTACTCCAAGTATTGCTATGCTCGATTTTTCGTGATCTTTCGCGCGTACGACTTTGCGAATACACAACTGTTAAAAGGGAAAGCTTTGTGTAAATCGCTTTAAAAAAAGTACTTTTACGGAATTTCTTTTGAAGAAACGACGTAATGGATCTTTTTAAAGATGTTTTATGTTTTATTACATTTCAAAAACTAGAAACAATTTTTGTTGTTAAAAAATAATCGATTTTATAGCAATTATAAACCGATCTTGACGCGGCTTCTTCGCCGGAGTTAGCGGGAATTGTAATGTTGCCTTACTAATTCATGCACAATTCATGCACACGAAAGAAACCTTTCGATCGAATTTCAATTAACTTAACCAGCGGTTAATTTAGCTGACTAGAACTTCTTGCAAACTTTCTTAATTATTTAATTTGTCGTTAATCTATTATTGCTAGAATAAATTTATCGATGATTTGATTAAGAATTCAGAATTTGTTGAATTTTATTCTTATTATTATCAATTATAATTTTTTATTAGCATCATTATTATTTTATGTATATTTTTTGTTATTTTTATTTGTAATTTGTATATTGTTAAACGTTGAAACAAGAACAGATTGACGCAATAGCGCTGATAACATACACTTGAACGCAATCCTACTTATTAGGATTACACGGAGAGAATTTTTTTTAAATTTACCCTGCAAATCATGTTAATTGTGGGACAATATAGTATTTAGGAAAATTTTACTGTGCACTACAATAAATTTAACAGTAGTAAAATACAGTAAAATTTATTGTAGTGCACAGTAAAATTTACCTAAATACTATATTGTCCCACAATTAACATGATTTGCAGGGTAAATTAAAAAAAAAAAAAATTATCCGTGTACGCGCCGAAATTGCATGGTTTTATGCGGCAAGGCATAGGTGCAACGCAACTTTGCGAATTCACGAAAGTTATTCCGTGACGCCATGACTGCTTTAATAATAATACGAATATGGAAATAGGATTGGACGCCTATGAATATTCTATTGTTCTAGAATGAGAAATTAGTCTAGGAACAGTCTTGTTTGGAAATATTGCTTGTTGTTTATTTGGAAAGCGCAGATTACTTCGTCATTGCGATGCCGATATAAAGTTTTATCTTTTCGAAAAATTGTAAACATAATCTTGTGCGAAGGAGCACAGAGGCGAGGGGAAGGGAGAGACCGAGTGCATAAAATGATAAAGAGAATGCACATGTATAGGAAAACAAGTTGATTCACGCGATGATGAGGTTGTCACGAGTCAAACTGGATTATGCCGATTTTGCCAATGAAACGTCACCTTGGGCAGATTGGACTCTGCACTGACCGCACCTCTAAACTATCAATTAGAACTGATTGAAGCGCGATCGAATCAAATGTGCCTGATCTTTATTGAAGTGGGACGTTGCGGGAAACGCAGTGGCGTTAGCATATTCTCTTCGTAGCGATGTCAGATCTTCTTTATTAATCGCTTAAAATCGAGAAGAAAATTTAAGAAAGAGAATTGAAACCGTGCCAGGAAACGAATGATGTAAAATGATAGATTTGTTACCGAATAAATATAACAGTTATTTATTCAGTATAATTTTCCTGAATATACTTGTAAAACGGAGCAAATTTGATATGTCTAGAAGAGATAAATATAACTGATATACACCTGATACAGGTTCTTGAGAAAAGAAATTAAAATCGCTTAATTCAATTTAAGATAATTTTACCTTGCAAGTTGTTGTAAGTTTTCGGATAGACTTTACTAATTCTTGAAAGAATTACGATTTTATAGAATTAATCATGATTTTTAGAACCTTCCATAATATGAGCAACTTATAGCTCTTTACGATAAAGAAACTGTTTCTTTAACACCTATTGCTCTTTTAATAGACAGTTCTTCACTTGTGTTATGTTTCTTCAACGCTTATTTAATAAGAAATTTCTCA